CTAGCAGGTTGCCCATCACTGTCACTTTTTAGAGGAGGCACTGTGGGAATTGTAGTCTTTTATAGTGTGTTGACTACAGACGTCACAATTAGGTGGCCTTTCTTATAAAAAGAAAAATACTGGCTCTAACACCGGTAAAACTTACATTTTAGGTACGTTTCCATTGACAGTGACAGAGGGCCAACTTTACAATCCCCGAATGTCAACAAGCGCTCCGGTCCCAGCTGTGTGCATCACTTTTTAGTGTCCCCGTTTCCGTCATGTAAACACAGCGCATGTTTCGTAACATTTGTGAATGTTCCCTAAACATTTTTGGGCTTTTGAAGCGTACTTGCACCTGTTGGCCACCGTACGTTTCAACCGCTTTCAGCACATTAGCCTTTTTTAGTTATAAATACATTTCTATTAATCCATGTTCATCTCTCTGTCTCTAGAAAGGAACCTCATCACCTTACAGCTCACCCAGAGCCTCTCCTTGGTCCTCACCCAAACTCAACCGCAGCGAGCTGGTTAAAAAACAAACTCCTCCGCCTCCTCCACCACCTCCGCCTCCTCCTCCTCCTCCACCTCCTCCTCCACTGCCACAGGAGAAGAAGAAACCCACCAGGATGATTGCGGAGGTCATCAAGGCACACGAGGCGGGCGGCAAGAAGGTGAAGAAGACGAAGGGTAAGAAAGGCAAGAAAGGGAAGGGGGAGACGAGCAGCATCCTGAAGGAGCTGAAGAACGCCCTGAGGCCAGTGATGGTGGAGCGGAGGGGGGAGGAGGGCAGCCGGCCGTCCACACCAATGAGGTCCGCCCACGACCAGCTGATGGAGTCCATCCGAAACAGAACCGGCAGCAGCCTGAAGCGGGTGAGTGGAGGACGTTTAAAGTTCACCTATCTTGTGTCCCCTCTTCTTCATGTCTCTTCTACATCAACATGTGTCCCCTCTTCTTCATGTCTCTTCTACATCAACATGTGTCCCCTCTGTGGAAAGAGACTCTGAAAGTTTCAGGAAAAAAGATTCTCTCTCTTTTTGTCCTGATCCATTTATATAAAAACCTGTCTGAGAATGAGCTGATCAGATTTTGGCCACTTTATGATGTCATAACGATGTTTTGGCTTGAGTAACCATTAGCCAATCACCAACCAAGGTAACCCCCAAACCCCCCCCCCACCTTATCACCTGAATCTCGTCCTAGAGCACCATTGTGTTCTTTGTAACCAAATGTCTCTCAGAGGGGCGTGGGGAGGGGCTCCTTATTTTCATCTGAAGTAACAGACAGAGAATCAGCACTTTTGAAACAGGGCTGAAACAGAGGGGATTATGGGTAATGCTGCAATGATCTGTTTGGTGTTTGGAGCCAAACACTTCAGAGACATGTTCTGCATATATCTGAGACTTTTTAACATAATGATGAAAAACAGTATAATAGGGGACCTTTAACTCTAATTATTTGATTATCTGTCTGAATCTCTCCACCTGTCGTCTGCAGAGGGATATTCTTCCAGGGCTATCGCTGCACTCGCTGTAAAATGGCTGCACATAAAGAGTGTTTGGGCAGGGTTCCCGCCTGCGGCCGAAACTCAGGTCTGTTTGCGTGCATGTGATCGTGTTAAGATCATACATGAGTTTACTGTGAATATCACACGTTTGCATAATTTGAACTGTTCCACGAATAAGCCTAATTATAACTTCTCTCATCGACTGTTCTCTCTGACAGATCATTCCGGTACTTTGAAGAAGGTAAGACTACATACATCTTTGACTTTGTGGATGTTTGTAATATTGTTTTATCTCACTTCTCTCTATCTTACATGTCAAATTGTATGTCCTTTTTCTATTTAATTTGTGATAACAGAATACAATAACTCCAGTTTGTTTGTGTTTTGCTGCTCCAGCATAAAGCACAGAGATCCTCCGGACAATCCAGCGCTGGTAAGAAATAATACATGTTTTTAATATTAAGTTAATATTGTTAATAAAAACCTTCTATTTTACATAAATGTTACATGAAGGTCAAATTATTGCATTGCCTGTCAGACGTCCTTCCTCAGGTCTCAACGCCTCCTTCTTCCTCCTTCCTCCTCCTTCCTCCTCCTTCCTCCTTCTTCCTCCTTCTTCCCCCTCTCAGGATTTCCAAAGATGGAGGCGTCTCAGGAGTATTATGGGGTGCCGCCGCCCCCCGTGGGCTTCGGCCAGCCGCTCCAACTCTCCAAAGGTGACATCATCGAGCTGACCCGGGCGGATGCTGAGCTGCCGTGGTGGGAGGTAGCATTAAAACCCAAAAACAAGCTTCTACACTCTGTATTCTGAAGGCTGGGTGGGGGGCACACATTATTCTGTCATGTTTCCTGTGGTTAAGTGTAGGTGTGAGATGCTTTTGTGTCTTTCAGTTTGTTTTGTGTTTTTCCTCTCTGCACCTCGTTCCACTTCCTCCCTCGTGTTCAAGCAGAATTCCACTGTGCGATTAATTTGAACGGGTTTTGATTTGAAAACCAAAACCACCTCATCGCTGCTTTGGTTTCAGGGTTTTTGTGAATGTCGTCACTTATGACGTAGGAAAAACATCTATTTCTCACACTTGATCTGTCAGTTATTTGCTGTGGCACAAGGAAGCAACTTAGATTTTGTTGTTAACTATTGGTTTGATCAAGTATTCATTAGAAACATCAATATTTGATATTCGCCCCAAAACTGTGTGGTTTTTACAAAAGATCAATTCACAATGATTAGAAATATTTTTGAAATTTGAATTAATGTAAAATATTAAGTATGTTTATGAATATTGTAAGTGATGTAGGGTCGTTGTTGTTAAGGGATAATCACGCAAACAATGGGTTTCTGCGTATGATTTATCTAATGTTTAACACTTTCATGTTTTGCACTTCCTTAATTAACCCCGCATACTAATTTAGCTTCAATTGCCTCAATATTAACTAACTGCATAACGTTCTTTCCTTGGGGTGGATTTGTTTATAACTTATCCATTTGATGTTGATTTGATAACTCATGTATCTGTTTCAATGACAGCTTAGTTGTGTGTGTCCCTCAGGGAAGAAACATGTCTGTTGGTCAGATGGGATGGTTCCCCTCCCAAAAGGTCCACCCCTACGTCCCCGTGAGTAAACACACCGTGAGGGGTTACAGATATCTTAACGGACGTTTGCTCTTACACTTTCACCTTAAAAAGCAAACACATCAGACTTTACATTGTCGCTCCTTTATTCTGGAGGGCTTTTGTCATGTATCATTCATAGCGTGATTTATATAACACTTTCCCCCTAAAAACATGACTTTTCTTATGGCTGTTTTCTCAAAACTACATTTTTATTTCTGGAAATCTAGCAAATGTTCACTGTTTACATATTCAACATAACATATCAAAAGACTTGTAAAGAAATAATGGACTACGTCGTCAGCTGGAGAAGTTAGAGGTTCCTCCTAGTTTACAAAAACTAATTTAGATTGCAGCAATTTACCATTTCACAGACTGAAACCAATAGCAGTTAACAGTTGTTTATCTGAAATGAAGAACTGATAGCACCACGACCACAGACCTTTAGCTTTAACATCTGTCTGATCTCACCCTTTCCCAGAGGCAGACCCCGGACCTGTCTTCAACCATTTGGTGAGTCTCTACAGGAACCAAAGCCCAACGCTTAACTTCCTCCTGTGTGTGCAGTGCAGAAGGCCTGTTAGCACTACAGAGCTGATACAGCAAACACTTACTGTCACAAAAACAGAACCAGATACTGAAAAGTGCTGAAAGCAGCTTTGGGGAAACTGTGGCCATTTCTCAATCGCGAGGATACTGGCTTGGTAGTCGCATACTTCCAAGTCACTTCCTTCAGAAACGAAGCAAGTATACTTCCAAGCCACGGCTTCGGAAAACAAAGAAGAATGGAACAGGCTAACAAGTGTGCCACTCTGTCTAACGGTTTCAACATAAACTGTACCGAAAATAAATACCTCACGATGTCTATCTAATTATGAACTTGCTTTACTTTCACGGAACACATTTTTGGTGATAACAAATGCAACAAATTAACATATTTACCAACACATGTTCTACGCCACTACATACTTACATTTAAATGTGTGCTGCGCAGCGTCAGTTCAGCCATTCTCCGCAAGGGTTTTTGAAATTGGTCCGTGCGCAAAGCATTGTGGGGATTTGAAGGACGCGAAGTCTACCCATGTGCAGCCTCGAAATGACCCCCAAACCAAGGACGTGGCCTCGGTGGAATTCCAAGTACGCTGGAGATTGGAACAGTCCTTCGGCGGCACTCGATGACGTAGCATCCTTGAAATATTGGCTTGGAAGCCAGTTTCCTCGCGATTGAGAAACGGCCTGTGAAACGGCCAGTGGCTCTGCAGCAGGTTTACTCGACATTGAGAAATAGCCACACACACACACACACACACACACGCACACACACACGCACACACACACGCACACACACACGCACACACACACACACACGCACACACACACGCACGCACGCACGCACGCACGCACGCGCGCGCGCGCACACACAAATACGA